TGGGGAGGCGTGTAGGGCACCGGTGTAGGATGGGGCATCCTTGCCGCTTGGGGTGCCTCGGCTGCAGGCTTCTTCCATGCGGGTTAATGAGGAGAGCCTCATCCGCTAAGGCTGCAGCTTCTTCCAGGGTGGCAGGTTTCCGCTCACGCACCCACTGTCGGAGCTCGGGGGGGCACTTGAAAAGGAATTGTTCCTTCAGGATGGCCTGGATGATCTGCTCAGGGGAGGTTGCCTTCTCCCCTTCCAGCCACCGGCGGCAGGCTACCGACAACTTGTGTGCAAACATTTTGAAGGAGGCCTCTGGGAGGCGGGGGGTAGTCCGGAACTGGGCCCGATATGACTCCAATGAGACCGCATAGTAGTCCAGTATGGCCCTTTTTATCTCCTCATAGTTCCGTCTCTTGAGGGGGTCCATCATTCGGTAGGCTTCAGCAGCCCCTCCGTCAAGCAGCCCTACCACATGTCGAGTCCAGTCTGTGACTGGGACCTCCAGTAGTTCGCACTGGTATTCAAAGTCCTGGAAGAACCCATCCACATCTCCGGTGTGTTCTTGGTAGGGCTTAAAGTCTTTCCTGGATATTCTCTGGGCCTCTTGTGCCACAGGGACAGCCACAGTAGCAGCTGCTTGGTACTTTGCAGCTTCCCACTCTGTTTGTCTCTTTTGAGCCTTTTCCATGGCCGCCAGCTTTCTATCGAGGGTGGCATCCTTCCCCAGAATGGCCATCTCTTCCTCGTACCAGATGACCAAAGGGCTCTTGCCACTTGTGCTTTGAAGCTCTGGTCCATCTCCTCTCAGGACCGCTTGGCTCCTGTCTGTGCCCGCATCTTCCCGTTGCTGTTGGCTGGTTTCCTCCAGCATCCGGACCAGCTGATCTTTGGTAAGTCCCTTGTAGTTGAGGCCCAAAGTTCTGGCCTTTTCTTGTAAGCTGGTTACCGTCCAGTATTGATATTCCGGGGCCACTGCTTCCATTGTATGCAGACTCTCATCTGCCATCTCGAGTGCTTTCGTCCCGCTGCTGCCAACCAGTTGTCAAGAGAACCAGAGAGCACACAGAGACATATTGCACAGAACCCAACGTGCTTTTATTGGGGAGGTTTTTGGGGCACAGACAACAGTTCCTTTAGTCCACAGATCCACACCAGACACAGCAACACAGTACAGTTCTCTGGAAGGCAATATGGAACAACAGGGTTATTGTAATCCACAGGGTTAGTCCACCCAGGAGGCTCCAGGCAGGGATGGGTTAAGTCCAGGCAGGTTCACGGAGAACAAAGGGGTTAAATCCAGGTAGGTTCACGGAGAACGAGGGGTTAAGTCCAGGTAGGTGATAGATCCAGGCAGGTTCACGGGGACAGCAGAAGATCCCTCCACAGTGCAAGGATTCGAGGCAGCACAGACAGTCTGGGAGATGAGGAGGAGGACGGGGGATCAGAGGAGCTGGCCCTCAGCCAGCCTTCCCTCACACACGCAGCCAGGAGAACACAATGGGGGTTTTCCTGCTCACCCTTAAGAATAGAGCTGGTAACCGGATACTTCCTATCAGGTTACCATGGCGACGGGCCCTGTCTCTCAGGTCTCCAGACCTGCCCAGGAATTCATGCATGAGGGGGAAGGGAGGAGATGGCCTGTTTGTGGATTCCTCCAGCAGGAGGCCAGGCTGCAAGCCAGGGGGGTGAGGGGCTGCTGAGGTCTGCCTGTGTCAGGGACAAAGAGGACTAGAAGTCCCAGCATGGATGGGACAGAAGGGTGGCAGCCAGCAAACCTGGAGGATGGGGAAGGAAGGACCAGCTCCGTGACAATTAGTATCAGTGACACAAAATGATGGGGCACTATTCCTCCCACTGACACCAATGATGGGGCACTATTCCTCCCACTGACACCAATGACACTTAACTTGCTGACCCCTGCTCCAGCATGGTGCTGCTGCAGCCAGCATACCTGGTTTGCAGCAGCACCATCAGCACAGCACACTTACCTGTCAGCTGTCCTTCTTCACTCCGGCCTCTCCCTCACTCGATGTTCGCGGGGCCGCTCGTCTCCGCCTCCTCGCAGGTGATTGGCCGCCTGTGTGCCTTTCCTGAGCTACAGTTCTGGTGCCCAATCACCGGTGAGGAGGCGGAGCCGAGCAGCAGGAGTGAGGGAGTGGCCGGAGTGAATGAAGGAGCAGCGCCTCCTGGACTGGATCGTCATGGGACTGGGACCGGAGCCGGGTAAGGTACAGCCCACCTCTGTACTTAGTGTCCCTTCCTCGTGGAAAATACGCCCCTGCCGGCGGGACGGATAAATGGCCTCGGCGGACCGCATGCGGCCTGCTAGTTTGAGGACCCCTGGTCTAGGCACTCCTATGCTTAAAGCATCATTGCTGAATATCTGCTGTGGGAGATCATCTGAGACAATGTGCTGCTCACAGTTCTCCTTGCCAGAGAGGGAGCTGTAACTGAAGCCTTGCAGTGCAAAGATCTCCTCGATTCTGTTTCATTATTTCTATGCTTTTTGAACCTCTCCTTCTGCTTCTTGAATATTCTTTCCACAATCATTAGATCACCAGTTATCAGGGGCACATATCTAATCTCAAAAAGCAAAGTCCTGCCTAAACAAAAGATGACTGCTTTCACACAGGGATATTGGGGTTGATTTACTAAAATTGTAGAGTGCAATATCTGGTGTATCTGTGCATGGTAGCCAATCAGCTTCTAACTTCAGCTTGTTCAGTTAAGCTTTGACAAAAAAAACCTGGAAGCTGGTTGGTTTCGGTGCAGAGCTGCTACAGATTTTGCACTCTCCAGTTTTTGTAAATCAACCCACAATGTAGATTTGGCATAATAAGTCAGTATTTGGGAAAATATTAACTGTGGGAAGCCCACAGGCAATAATGGTTACTAACCCTATGCCCTCTGTGTGCCTTCTTTTGGGCACAGCTTCCACAGTAAATTTCTCTTTAGGAGTTTTTTAAATCTATCTTCATCTTTTAGTTGGCTCTTGCTTTCTTTTACCACTTAAAGTGGTTGTAAAGACTGGAGGTTTGTTTATTTTTTTACCTCCATGCATTTCTGCCTATTTTTGCAGAAAAGAAGTGGAACTACTACATTTATTTATTTTTATATTACAGGTATTTACATAGCATTGACAGCAATTGCAGCACTTTATATGTAGCACCCTCCTAGTTTAGCTAGGGGGAGCTAGACTTCAATGGTTAGACAGGGGTTGAGCAACAGCCCAGAGGTAATAGTCAGACAGGGGTCAAATTGTGGTCAGAGCTGAGAGGCTCTGCAGGCCAGCCTCTCTGGAATTTTCCCCTGCTCTAGGGCTTTTGGAGGAAGGTTTTAGAGGCAGTAGGTGGATCTGAGAAGTGGCTGACTGCACTCTTGAGGGTTCCTAGCCAATCCCCATCAAGAGGTTGGCAAGGGGCCTGCCACCCTTAAAAAGTGGAGTGGGGGAGAGGAGTCGAGTGGAAGAAGGAGAGAGGAAGATGTGAGGCTGTGAGGAAGGAGGCTGCCAAGAGGCCTTCTGGGATGGGGCTTGCATGCGAGCCTGGAGCTGGAAAGGCAGAAAGCTTGGAACTCACTGGCCCCCTGAGAGAGGACCACCTGTATGGCAGGGAAGGAGCACCCCAGCTGATAGACTTGTTAGCGGCTGCCAATCCTTAAACAGTACAGGAGAGGATCTGAGTGACTACATCTGCACCCCCTGGGTGGAAAGTGGAAGGAGCACTCTGATGTGAAACCAAATTAGCCCGCTACTAGTGACTGATCACCTATTTAAAGGGGCAGGAACTGGATCCCCTGCTCAGGGATATCTCCAGATTGCTGAATGAAGAGGAGAAGTTCATCTAGGGTCTGGGGTGGTACATCAAGGAGATGCTGGCTAGCTCTTCAACAGAGATTGTGCTGAAAAGAAAACTTGTGAATAGTTCCAGGGGGTTTTCCCTCAGTTGTCAGTTCCCTTGGGCATCCTATAACCCTTATCCAATCCCAGTTCTAAATCCCCTTAATAAACCTTAAAAACAGAGCTCAATGACTGATTCCTGACTCTGAATGCAAGTTTGTGTGGAGAATGCCAAGTTCCTGGCTGTGTAGGACTATAGGGGGACCCAAACCTCTTAGCAATCCCCAAGGGGGTAGAGCTACATATATAATGTAAGCTCACAACTAGTAGCAAAGCTAGACATTCTTTCACCCAGGGCAAAGACTCCCCACATCATTAGCTACATGAAATACTGATAGATATCAGTAATTCCCCAGAACTGAAAAGTCTGCTAATGTGTCAGCGACAGGATAAGGAAGGAGTGATTGAAGGGGTTAAGTGAATGTGGAATGAGCCTGATTTTTCCAAAAGGTATGAGATTGCCTCAGATCCTTCCTGATATAATATATTTAGTATATATATATATACCTTTTTATTTATCTCCAGCCCCTTTAACACCATATCCTTATTTTATCATTTGTGTGTTGGGTGTAACCATGGGTTCTATATACCAACATTTAAGACTAGACATCCAATCAAAGTGGGAAACAGCATTGTGAAATATGCAGTAACCCAGTGTAATCAATCACATTTATTTTTTATTTAACCCTCCTTGCCCTCCTGAGGATTTACCCCCCTTCCTGACCAGGCCATTTTTTGTGATACGGCGCTGCATTATTTTAACTGACAATTGCACGGTCATGCAATGCTGCATCCAAATGAAATTTATGTCATTTTGTTTTGCACAAATACAGCTTTCTTTCAGTGGTAATTGATTGCCCGTGCGATTTAAATTTTTTGCACTATAAACAAAAAAAACTGACAATTTTGAAAAAAAACTATATTTTTGACTTTCTGCTATTAAACATGTCCAGTAAAAAAATTAAAAAAATCAAATTTAGTCATAAATGTAGGCCAAAATGTATTCTGCTATATGTCTTTGCTAAAAAAAAATCCCGTGATTTACGTGAAAGTTACAGCGTTTACAATTGGCGGTATACTGCAATTTTGGGTTTTTTACTAGTAATGTTGGCAATCAGCGACTTATAGTGGGACTGCGGCGGGCATTCTGACACTAGGAGAAACTGACTTGGTGTCATTGACATCCCCAGTGATACCAATACAGTAATCAGTGCTAATAAAAAGCACTGACTGTGACGAATCATCCCTGTGTGATCACATTTTGCCCTTTCTGTTCTGGTTTTCTCCCCTTTGTAAAGCTGGACATGTTTCACAGACATTCTACACTGTTTGTTTAGGGAAATGTGACCTTGTAGTCTTTCACTCCTAATAGAGTTCATACTGTATTGTTAGTCCTAGGGTTTGTTGTGGGTGGGGAAAACCCGGTGCCAGGCTGTCTGGTGGGGGTGGGGTTGAAGCTGTATATACTGAGTTGTGTTTAATAAAGAGTCAGTCATTATTCACCCTACACACGAAGTTCCGACTCGTGGTTTTGGGTAGAGCAAAATGGAGGGTTTTTAGCTATAATATCTGCCTTGGAAGACTGGCTGGAAAAGAGGACCATTGGGTGTGACCTATCGCTCCGCACGAGGAAGCCCAGGCGGAACGGTTCCGCCACAATTGGTGGCAGCAGTGGGATCTTTCCTCATTGCGGAGAAAGTCCAAACCACCAACCGGGACCCCATCTTTTTCACGGAGACATCCCTGCTCAGCCAGATGGATATACGGGACCTCCGGAAGCCAGCTCTCCAAAGCCTGCTTGTTGCTCGGGGAGGTATCGCTGGCACCAAGACCAGAGAGGAACTGTTGGATGAGATTATGGCCCTGGACCAAGAGGATGCGCACCCCACTTCACCTGATGCACACTCCGCTATGCTTAAAGCGAACACTGCTCCACCAGTAGTGAACTCTGCTTCACAGGAGGAGTTGGAGGAACAGAGCAGCTCATCGGCCCCTGAAACACCAGGCCCACTTAGCACCGTACAGAGACCCCTATACCATTCGGATTTACGACAAGAGGTGGAGTGGCGGTTGTCTCTGTTTGGCAGCGCTCCCACCTCTGAACAGATTTCCAAGGCCCTGGACGATGCCACCCAACTGCGGCTTAGTCACTCCCGGTCATCAACCGAGGACTCGGTCTGGGAGAGGATTACCTCCTGCCTTCTCCAGACTGCAACCGGACCAAAGAAAATTCCCTACGCTCCTTTTAAAACTTTCTCAGAGGCGGATGGGGACATTGATGGCTTTCTTCAGGACTTTGAACGTTTGTGCACCATCCATGGTATGGCAACCCAAGACCGGGTCCCCCATTTTGAGCAGCAAGCTAACCGGTCGGGCTGCAGACGCATTCAGGACTGTACCCGACAGCTACTGCCTAGATTATGATTTTGTTAAGGAACACTTGTTGGCCCGCTACGCTCTCACCCCAGAGGCGTACCGCTTAAAGTTCCGGACACTCAAGAAGTAATCCCAGGACACCTTCACTGAACGGGGACATCAGTTACAACACGCTGCCCGCAGCTGGGTCATAGGGTGTCAGATCACCAAGCTGGAGGAACTGTTACAACTGCTGTTACTGGAGCAGTTTTACAATGGACTTCCAGGGGATGTTCGGCATTGGGTCCGGGACAAACACCCCCTAACCTTAGCCGACGCTAGTCGCTGGGCAGATGAGTACCTGGACAACGGGGAGGATAACAGAGCCCACCATTCCCCCTGCACCTCGTCCACAACCAGTGGTGCCCACTCCGGTCACCCGAGAATGCCTCAGACCACCCACACCTTCTGACTCAAAGTGGTCTGGCCCACGCTGTTATGGCTGCAACCAAACAGGGCACATTCGCATTCATTGCCCCCGGAATCCACCAAGGCTCCAGAGCAGCCAACCCCCGCGGGGCACTTCCAACCGACCTACCATTCCCTATGGCCGAGCCTCTGCCTACTCTCTACAGGACCACCCGAGTGACACCGCCTCTTCATGGAGGAATTTTACCACCGAGGATGAGGACATCGGGGTCTTTCATGAGGCTAACCCTCTCCAGGCTGCAACCCCGGACAATCGCCAACACCACCAACAGGTTGTCCATGTTAACGGCCGTCAGGCCCAAGGATTACGGGACACTGGGGCCACACTCACCCTAGTCCAACCTCAACTGGTACCAGACTGGGCCAAGACTGGGCGATCTGTAGCTTTACGGGTAGCGGGAGGCCATGTCTACCGGATTCCTACCGCAAGGCTTCATCTGGATTGGGGGGCCAGGGCCAGGGATGTTGAAATTGGAGTAATGCAGAACTTGCCAGCTGAGGTGCTCCTTGGAAATGATCTGGGAGTCCTGGTCTCCACTTTTTGGCACCGAGACCCCTGCTGAAGCTCAACCAGTACCGACCGGGGGAAGCAAAACGCCAACGCAGATGGATTGTCCCAGGAAGCCGAGTTGGAGAAGTGACCCTCTGAACCAACCAGCCCCAAGCGGACCCGTTTGAAGGTCTCGCCGGGTCTGGCGGGTGTTACACAACGGGGGAGCCTTGTGACGAATCATCCCTGTGTGATCACATTTTGCCCTTTCTGTTCTGGTTTTCTCCCCTTTGTAAAGCTGGACATGTTTCACAGACATTCTACACTGTTTGTTTAGGGAAATGTGACCTTGTAGTCTTTCACTTCTAATAGAGTTCATACTGTATTGTTAGTCCTAGGGTTTCTTGTGGGTGGGGAAAACCCGGGGCCAGGCTGTCTGGTGGGGGTGGGGTTGAAGCTGTATATACTGAGTTGTGTTTAATAAAGAGTCAGTCATTATTCACCCTACACGAAGTTCCGACTCGCGGTTTTGGGTAGAGCAAGAGGGTTTTTAGCTATAATATCTGCCTTGGAAGACTGGCTGGAAAAGAGGACCATTGGGTGTGACCTATCGCTCCGCACGAGGAAGCCCAGGTGGAACGGTTCCGCCACACTGACACTGTACTAATGGCACTGGGCAGGAAGGGGTTAACATGTGGGGCGATCAAAGGGTTAACTGTGTACTGTTTTACTTTGAGGCTGTGTGCTGTGTTTCACTGCAAGCACACTGCTTTGTTTGGCTCTGCTATGCAGAGCCATACAAAGCAGTGTGCAGGAACTGACAGGGGAGAGATCTGTATTGTTTAGATACAGGTCTCTCCCCCATCAGAAATCCTCTGAGATTGCCGAGTGCTGGCGGGGAATCACTGGCCGGGACCTGGTGATTGACAGCCGAGGCCGCGAATGGCGGCACGGGTAGGGCACACGTGGCCCCTACCTGGAACTGCAAAATCACGTTTATATACATGATTTTGCGCACCTGTTCCATCCTGTAGCAGTATTTCTGCTATAAGGCAGCGCGGAATCAGTTAAAGAAGAACTTCACCCTAAATGGGAAGCTCTGCTTTAAGCCCTTCTCTCCTCTTTTGGAACTTTTTTTTTTGGGGGGGTCGGATTGTCTAGGCAATTCCACAGGAAGTTCTTCCCCCTCCCCTCCCTGCCCACATGCAGAGTTTGAAGCTGGTTGTGAAGCCACAAGAAGTCACAGCCAGCTACCCACACTTAACATGCCAGCACCGGGGACCCAAAGGCCAGCAAAGAATCATCTCAGGTGAGGACAGTGCTGGATCCCTGTACAGGTAAGTGTCCTTTTATTAAAAGTCAGCAGCTACAGTATTTCAAACAGATTTTCAAACAGATTGAAGAACCTCTTTAACTATGGGAAACTCAATGATTAGCTGCCTTCAATTCACCATTGCTCTCTTCGCTACTTTGCTGAATAAAGAAGATTTTTCACTGGTCTGACTAAAGCATCCTTTCCAAACCAGGGTTCTGTGGAACACTGGGGTTCCTCCAGAGCTTGCTAGGGGTTCCATGAACAAGGAGTGATTTCTAATGCTCAGATAAGTAACCACTGATACCTGTAATCTTTTTAGTTATCTGTAAGGCTGCATTCTTTCCATTGACTACCGGTGTAATGGGGCCCTTCTCCCAGTGGACTCCTGTGTAATGAGGCCCTTCTCCCATTAAACCTCCTAATGGTTTCCAATGTAAGAAAATATACACCACATTCCTTTTTTTTTTTTATGAGCTATGTAGGTATAGACATTATTAGCAATGGTTTTCAGACACTGAGAAATTATTTGAAAAGTTCCTCTAAATGATAAAGCTTGAGAAAGGCTGGACTACAGTAAAATGGTATGTGACTTCTATTGTTTTTGCGCCATCTTCATATTATTGTTGCATTTCCTTATTAGCCTAATATCATCTCCAGGGATAATCCTAATTTTGGAACCTGGCTACTGCTCATTTTGAATGGCATTTTCTTAACACATTTACAAATTTTCACATATTGCATTCTAATCAGAACACAGATGTAAGACAAGTTCCCAGACATCGCTGCAGGCACGAGGATTAATGATTCCCTTACCAGCTTAGATCTGATGTTTACATGGGCAGCAGAGTGAAATGCAGGTCAATCCAAAACTCCAGACAATAAAGCATGTACTCCAATCTATATGTGGAAGGTTTTTATTAGGCTAAAATTTATCATTAGGTACTTCTCTGTTTTATTGTCTGTAGTTTGCTTCATTAGCCATTAGCTGTGGCTGCTATCCTAGCTAAAGTTCAAACAGTAAAATGCAAGTGGTGGTCAAACAAGCATAACATTAAAGCAGGACTCCCGCTTAATTAAAACATGTTATTAAAATAAGGAGCTATTGGCATACGCAAATATAACATACTAGCATGGTGACCTATTTTCCTTACTGGGGGGGAAAGCATATCATTTGCTGGTAAAAAAAAAATCCTTATAAAGTGACACTATACTCTTGTTTAAAACAGGAAGCTATTAAAGCACAGTATGTATTCTTAACTGGGAAACAGTACCACCTATTTCTTTCAACCTTCACCAAACCCTCAAATTCCTTTTTTATTTGCTGCTGTGATCTGACTTCCTGTTAGAGGGTGGCTGTGAGATGGGAAACAGCTCTCATTGTTTGAACACTATTTGTGTGGAAGTAAATTAATGTTTTGACTGACATTCTGCGGTTTAGCCACAAGATATCACTGTTTTTTTAACACAGCCTCAGACTGCATAGATATTTGTATATTCATGAAGAGGTGGGGTTTTGCACTCAGAGTTGGAGAGAACAGGAAGGAGGAACAGGAAGGAGAAAGAGAAGCCATATTCTGGAGAATGGTGAATGAGGGGGGGCCGTGTGAGCTGAGAATCTGATGACATCCAGGTGTGAAAGCACCCCTCCGTAACCAGATGCTGCGGACTCTGCTGATAAAATCTCACAAACTCAAGCCAGACTGGCGTTTTGCTCAGAAGGAATACTCAGGCATGTACTACAGGACCAGTTATGGGAGGGGGAATACTGTAGAGTTGTGTAACATTGTAAGCTGTTATGCTGCACCGCAGGCTAGCCCATACCGTACAGCCATACACTGATTCTTGCTCTTTTAGGGTAATAACAGGTAAGGTGTGGAAGCTTAGTTGTCCCTGCCAGTAGGTAAATTACTTCACTTTCTACCTTCATCCATCAGAAGGCGCCGTGCTTTGCAGCACAAGGGTCTCAGCCTTTGGGCTGTAAATTAGGATGTAAATTTTATTGTATGTTTCCAGCATTTGTAGTTGTGTTTATTTGCCACATCTAAGTAAAATTCTGTTGTGGCAAAAGCTGGTGTTGAGGTTGCTTTCCTCGTTCGTGACTTCACTGTATCCTGGGGAGCCTACCCCGGTACACGGCTTACATGGCTATGGTCATTTTCAATGGTCCTGCTGTATGTAGGGAGGTAGCCACTCTCTTGCTCATTCCTAGGACAGAATAAGGACAACGGACTATGAGAATTGTAGTGTGCACAGTGCACATGACTGTAACTAACTGCTCATTTCAAACACACAGAAGTGAGGAGGAAAAGTATAAGTTTTGGGAACTCATGGAAGATGTTACAACCAGGGGTGGACTGACAACTCATGGGGCCCCCGGGCAGTAAGGGATCATGGGGCCCCTGTGTCCTTGCCCACACTCAAAACCACACCCAAAAAAGCCTATGAAAGGTACCAGGGGCATCTCATGGGGCCCCCTACTGACCCCGGGCCCTCGGGCAGTGCCCAAGTTCCCAAATGGTCAGTCCGCCCCTGGTTACAACAGAAAAAAATAGTAAGAAGGAACAATTTCATGGGAAAATATTAACATTAAGTAGTGGATGTGCATGGATTATTTTTGGAGAATAAGGATATCTTAGATTGTAAGCTCCAAGGAGCAGGGCCCTCCTATCCCTCTTGTATTGAATTGTATTGTTGCTCTATTGTCTCCCATTATATTGTAAAGTGCTGAGCAAACTGTTGGCGCTATATAAATCCTGTATAATAATAATAATAATAATAGTTTAGTATCAGTTAAGGTAAAGTATTGTAGCCCTCCTTGTGAATGAAGGATGGGAGGGTATGAGAAATGGCCCTTCCCAAACAGCATATTGTGCCAAACCTGTAGGTAATAGGAGAACCAGAACCTTTGCTAAGAGAAAAAGTGGGTTTGTTAATAAAGTTATCCATACCTCCACCTAGGACAGGGCCTCTGTAAGCAAAGGGGAATCCCATTCCTGGGATATTAACTAGTAATTTAAACAAAGTAATATGAAACAGAGGAACTACTGCAACCAGCATATTACATTTAGACATGTATACGAATCTCTGAATGTCAACAAATCCAAAAAAAGTTATAACGAAATTAATAAATCTAGATTGTAAGCTCCGAGGAGCAGGGCCCTCCTATCCCTCTTGTATTGAACTGTATTGTTGATGTATTGTCTCCCATTACATTGTAAAGCGCTGAGCAAACTGTCGGTACTATATAAATCCTGTATAATAATAAATAATAATAATAATAAAAAATGCATTTTTTTAATTCATTTTATTTGGATGACGTTGCATGATGCAATAGTAGTTCAAGCCCATGGGGAAATGAATTCAATTTTCAAATTCATTAGATAATTTGGATTCAGATAACGAATGGATCTGAATTTAGTTTCATTAGTTTAATTCAGATCCACAGGAAGCCGGTAGATATTGTCCAAACAGCTCATACCATTTCTCTTGGTGGGTTGGACTAGCGCCTGAAAATATTGAATCCTTCCAATTCAAATCCGTCCAATTCGATAATATAATGAATATATACCAATCTTCCAGAAAAACTACAAAATTTTCGAATTCACCTGGACCAATGAATATACAAAACAAATGCTGCAGATTCAAAATGAATTCCGAAAACAAATCGGTCCAACTTAATGAATATGACAAAAGAGAAATTCTTCAATACATGAAATGCCATAAGAATTTCTGGCGTGCACATGTCTAATAACAATAAGCATAAGTATATAGATGCACACCACTATATAAATAATGCATGCTTTATATAAGAAATGATTAGAAATAGTCCATACATCCAATGTACAAACAGATCAAACATTACCAACAAAGGGCCCAACAAAAGTCCTGGAGGAATTGTGCACATATACTGTACCTGGGTATATACAGGTATTAATAGAGATACCTCCAGATGGATGCTGCAGCAAAATCCAGTTGCTGAGGCCCCTGAGGATGATCACAATGCAGCATCTGCCTTTGTTGCAGAGACCTGAAGACAAGATCTGTGGTGATGAGGATACCCTCCGGCCATCGTCCAATCAGCCTGGAATGCAGCTTTACATCAGCAGAAGATGTGGCACCAGAACTCAGAGGCAGCCTATCTACTCTGTGCTTAGCCCCTAGTATCTGTCATGCAACTGGACCTCTAACTACCAAGTGGTCATCAGATGCCTAACCTGGCTCTATTGCATTCCTGTTCAAATCGCATGCTAATCATTGCGGTGCAATTTGCGTCCATTAACGTAAAGTATCGGTTAAGGTATCAGGAGTATTTTCAGGAGTACTCATGAAAATACTTGGTATCGGCACTGGTATCAGTGCATTCCTAATTAGGACATAGAAATACTTGCCTAATAAGCTCTGCTTCTAGTCTGGATGAAAGGTATGCAGCTCCTGTGGGTAAAAGGTCACATGGCTCAGTTCTCTCTTATTCTCTACTTCCTCCTTCTGGGCTTTTTTCCCAAAAACCCAGAGACAGAAAGTGCACACATAATATATTTACTGGCATTTGTCCAGACAGACAATAGAGAGCAGCATATCCTTACAGTATAT